GCTCCTGCCACAGTGGGGACAGACGGATGGATGGATGGATGGATGGATGGATGGATGCATGGATGCATGGGCAGATGGACTTCTCCCCACCCACAGCAGGGAGTTAGGGGAGGACGGACAGACAGATGTGCCTCCTTAGCCAATGAGGTGGCCTCAGGTGATGCTAACAAGCCCATTAAAGGGGTTTATCAAGGGAGGCCACAGGCTAGTGGGGAGGCTGCTGGTTTTATCTGGGATGCTGCTTTTGGGCTGGGAGAGCCTAAGCTCCTGCTTGTTAATTAGAAAGGCTTCAGGGAGGTTTGTACTGGTTGGCCTCACTTGTGAGCAGCCGTAATATGATGAGTGATTAGGGACTCTGAAGCTTTTTAGCGGGTATCATTAAGCTACTGATGAGCTCAGGCGGGGAAAGGACCTTTTTGGCTGTGCCTGGAACTGGCTGGTCCTGCGCTGATCTGGCTTTTCCTCCTGTCGTGGTCCCCGACCTCCTGAGCCCCTGTGAGGTGGGTGAAGTGTGTGTCCTGGGGGCAGCGATGGCTCAGCTGTCACCCTGTGTCCTTGGGCTGGGTTGGGTCTGGTGTCCTCCAGCTCATCTGTGAGATGATGAGCTTGTGGTTGTGCATGACTGAAGCTGGGATGTCCCTATTTTCACTGTCTGCCAGGTATTGAGAAAATTTGGGGATGATTAGTTCTGAAAAGGTAGATTCCAGACTACTTGTGCATCAGGGAGAGGATGCTGATGCCTGTCCTGGCAGTTGCTTTAGGAGCATCGTGCCCCCAGAGAGCTTGTTTCTCAGTTATGGGGTTTCCCTACTTGTCTGGGTGCTGATGGTGAAGCCTTCTTGCTCAGGGGACATCCTCTCGAGGGGTGATGTCCCTGTCCCATCTTCCTCTTGCCCCCCTGAGGCCCCCAAGGGCTGGGACAAGGCAGGGAACAAAATCTGCCAGATTTTCTCTGCCCTCCCTCATCTTCTCCTGTCTGCCTTGGCAAAACTTCTTGCGGCTCGGCAGCATCCTGCCCTGTCGTGGTCTGGCTGGCATCTCTAGCGCTGTATTTACAGCAATGTTAATTAAATACTTCTGCAATCAGTGCTGCGCATGACCCTGCTCCCTGAGCCGGGGTTGGGCTGTAATGTGCTATCACTGAGCAAGAACATGACTGCTGCTGTCCTGGGGAATTTCTAATAGAGATTTACTCATCCCAGGCCTCCCATTTCTCTGTTTCGTGACATTTTGTAAAGTTCAGGTTTACAAAATAAGCGAGCGCACGGAAGAGATGCTCTAGATGTTATTTACACTGCACGTGCCATTTCCCACTCGATGGGGTCTTCACCCCATGGTGAGCGGAACCAGTGGGGGGGGTGGGTGTCTGGTGCCCTCTGCCCGAGGGGCTGGTACTTTTGACGAGGACCACCCCACCAGCCCGCCGCAAAGCCCTCGGCACTGGAGCTCCCTGCTCCTCTCACCCCTCCATGTGCCAGGAAAGCGGCGGAGCGCGGTGGCTGTGCCGATTGACACGCTCGTGGCGTCGTGTGCCTGAACCTGCCTCCGATCCCTGCCCCAGTATGGGGGTGAGGGATGGGGTGGGAGCGGGTATGGCCCCTGCCCAGAGGGGCCAGGGAGGAAGGCAGGGCTGCTGCGGTTTCAGAGGGAGGTAATTTGGGATGCTCAGCTGCTCTGCTTTTAAAAATAAGCCTGGGCTAAAAGCTGGCAGGGCAGCGGGGAGCGCGGGAAGCAGCAGGCTGCCAGCAGAATCCCATTAGTGTGCGACAGCCTCTTGGGGTCTTGGCTACAGGCAGAAAAGCCCCTTTCAGCAATCACTGGTGGCAGGAGCTGCCTGCTCCAGGAGGACAAGGCAGTGTGTGTCCCAAAACCCAGGGACTTGCCCCTCCTGGCATGGAGATGCACCAGCACAAAGTGGCACCCAGCGCCTTTCTGACCTGCTCCTGTTTAACCTGCACCTGGGCTTTGGCAGTGGGACCTGGGGCAAACCACCGAGTGGGTGACCAAACCTCCTATTCCTCAGGATGGAGCTGGCCAAGGGAGACCTCATCTCACCCAGCGCCACAGTGAGGGCAGCTCATCCCCTCTGGGGAAGGATCTGCTGGAAACCAAGCGTGTGCCTGTCTCGCAGTGCCGGCCCGGGGTGCAGCCAGAGCCAGGGGCACCAACCCAGCTCTGTGGGTGGGGGGGGCAGGTAAGGGGGGGGCTGGCTGGTCTCATGCCCAAGCACCACATCAAAACTCAGCCGTGCTGGGCTGTGGGAGATGGGGACTGTGGGCTCTGGCACACCTCGCTCCTGCCCTGTCCCTGCCTTGTCAGGTCTGATCAGAAGGAGGATCAGTCGGCCCTGCGCGCTCTCTCCAGATTTAATTAACGGGCCTTTCATCTCTACCCTGAAGGAATCTGCTATCTTCTGTCTTCTTAATTAACGTTCATTAAGCAAATCAGAAGAACGTTTTCTCCTCACCGCCTCCACGGCTCTTAACCCTTGCGGGGTGCCAGGTCTGTGCCAGGGCAGGAGAAGGTTCCTGGGCTGTGATGGCAGGTTGGGGCAGCACATGGACACCAAAGCCTTGGTCACCACATCTCCACCACACTTGGACCAAAGTCCTGGGGCAGTGGGTGAAGTCTCTGCAGGTATAGAAGACTTCAGCTGAGGTTGGGCCCCACCATATCAGTGGGTCTGAGAGCAAATCCCACCTCTGATCGCTCTTATGGACACCCTTGTTCAAGCTCATCCACATCCCTGGAAGACAAAGGGTTTCCCGTAACCTGCTTTAGCTCTTCATCCTGTCCAGGGGTGAAGATCGCCCACGGCAAGGTGATGCATCTGTGCGTGAAGGTTTTGCTGTGAGAAGCCACCATCCAAACCTGGTAGGCACTGCAGCGTGGGAAAGGTGCATCTAGGGACTTGCTGTGAGGAAAAGGGCATTATCTGGGGCTGCTCCTGCCCCTTTTCTTGCAGACTGAAGTTAGATGTGATGGCTTTTTCCTTGCCCTTGGTGGACACTCATGGGGGATAGGGTTGGACCAAGACCCTCGGCTGACCATCTTCTTCCTCTGAGCCACAGCAGGGTGGTTGTCAGTCACCAGGACTGTGTGTGTGTGTGCAGAGAAGGGGTCTCCCAGAATCAGTCTGGGGATGTGCTGCTCCCACATCAGCTGTAGCATCCCTGCTGCTGGGCACAGTCACCAGTGATTCCTGTCAATCTCTGGCCCCATGGGCCATCCCCCACACTGGGTGGCTGTGCTGGAGGAGGAGGTGGGGTTGGGACACTCTCAGCAGCTTTGCTCAAGTCCTCTGTGCATCCCACAAGCAGCCACCAAGCCCTGGTTGCATGCTCTCATCATGTTCTAATGTGGACCCCTCTGCAAGAGGGGATGGGCTGGGCAGGGGAATCATCTCCTGGGTGCGTGTAACATCCTGAGGAGGAGGTGGCAAACCCATGACACGAGAGAGCCTTCTGCCCAGAGTCTGCAGCCTCAATAGCAAGGGGAAAGCAAACCACCTGGAAAACCTCATCCCTGCAGGATGCAAATTCCCTTAAAACTGGTGGTGGAGATGCACAGGGCAATTACTGAGCTGAAACCCCTTCTCTTTCTCCCTGGAGGCTGACAGTGGGTTTGCCACTGGCTGCCCGCTCCCAGGCAGCTGATGCACAGCTCCTTAGTGCTGGGAAACTCACCCTTCCCAGCAGAGCTGGCTCTGGCTGTCAGAGCCCGGGTCAATATATGGTAATGGGGCTTTGAAACGGTGCTGCTGCGGGGGCCACTGCCGAAGACTCTGATTCACAGCTTCCCTCCAGTGCTTTCTCCCCGCAGCGTGCACGGAGAAGGAGACTAAAATAAATAAGAGTAGAAGGGAAGGGGAGGAAGGGAGCTTCAATTATAAATGAGGGCTAAGTTTCTGGGCTCCCGCAGGCAGCTCAGCTGGGCAGCATGGGGGACAGAGGCAGCGGTCTGCGGGAGCCACTGCCGAAGACTCTGATTCACAGCTTCCCTCCAGTGCTTTCTCCCCGCAGCGTGCACGGAGAAGGAGACTAAAATAAATAAGAGTAGAAGGGAAGGGGAGGAAGGGAGCTTCAATTATAAATGAGGGCTAAGTTTCTGGGCTCCCGCAGGCAGCTCAGCTGGGCAGCATGGGGGACAGAGGCAGCGGTCCCCTCTGCACCCCATTTTTGCAAATACCACCCCCCCCACAGAGTGGGGCTGGCAGAGGTCGGGGTCTGCCCAGGAGCATGGCACTGTGCCAGCCTGCCTGCCTCCCTGTTCGCTGGCACTTGTCTGTCCCCGTGCGTCAAATCTGGAGGGTTCCACAGTCCCAAAAGGGATCCCTGTAATTAGCATTACCTGACAAGCTGCTAATGAGGTCTGGTGATGGTCTGGTTTTACCACCCCATGGGATGTGCCCTCTCCCTGGTCCAGGGGATGGGGCTGCCCCATGGCAGCAGGCAGGGACGGGACCCCCACTCTGGTGTGAGTGGGGGAGCAGTGGGATTCCCATAAATCAGTGTGGGGGAAGAAGAGGGTGCTGGGGAGGTGCTGGGCCTGCCTTCCCTCCACCCCCTTTTGATTTTGGGGCTGCAAGAAAATTGGTGACCCCCACCAATTTAAGAGAAAACCCACGCATGGGGCATGAATCACCAGGAGCTCATCCCTGGGGCTGAGAAATGGAGGAGCTCAGCTCCATCCCTGCAGCCGAAGGTGCAAACCCACCCATCCCTGAAGCAACAGGGCCAGGGTACATCCTGGCAGAGGGGTCCCATCCTGCTTGGGCCCATGGCCTGGGGACCAGGGTGGCCTGGGGGAAGCCCAAAGCCCGGGCTCACACACGAAGTTTTCGACATTCCCAGCAGCTTCCACAAGATGGACCTCGGAGCGAGAGGAGGTGCCGGGCAGGGGGACACATCCCATCCCATCCTGTCCCATCCCATCCCGTCCCGCCTGCTCCCGCCATACCAGCTAGAGGAGGCTCAGAGTCTGGCCAGGCGAGCTCCAGCATGGCACAGCCTCCCGGGCTCTGCCTGCTGGCCCTGCTGGGGCTGGGGCTGGGAGTGGGGGGCTCACCCGCCTGCCAGGACCCTCGGGGCCAGCCCCGCCGCTGCATGCCTGTCTTTGAGAACGCCGCCTTTGGCCGAGCCGCCCAGGCCACCAACACGTGTGGTTCACCCCCTGAAGACTACTGCCTGCAGATGGGTGCCCGCCACGCCAGCGCTCTGTGCCACCGCTGCGATGCCACCGACCCCCGGCGCCACCACAACGCCTCCTTCCTCACTGACTTCCACAGCCAGGAGGAGAGCACCTGGTGGCAGAGCCAGTCCATGGCCTTCGGCATCCAGCACCCCAACTCTGTCAACATCACCCTCCACCTGGGTAAGTGCCAGCGGGAGCCCCCATGGTGCCGGCGAGGGAAACCGGCGGTGGGTGCATCAAGACCCGGGTGCATGGCTGGGGGAATGGATGCTCCTGAACCCTGCAGCTCTTGGTGCTGCTTTTGGGTTAAAGGCAGCACCCTCCCCCGGGCTTTTAGGGGATGCAAGGAGGGAGATGG